GTAAATAATTTTGTTTTAACATCGATTACGCAAAAAATCTTCCCATAATTAGTGAAAACTTTAATTCGTACTAAAATAATTTTATCAATCTCTAACACATAACAAATAAATTTTTTTACTTTTATTTTTTTCTCCGAAATTTTGAAATTTGAAAATAATTTCAGCTATTTAAATTTACCATAGAAAGTATAAATGTGAACGAAATTTGAAAGCTTTTTTTAGGAGAATATATAAAAGAATTTGGAATAAAATAGAATTTATTGATCAATGATTCCTATGAAATCAAATTTTATGAAAGAGAATGTTGAAATAATGCGTTATATATTGCGTTATACAAGAAGACATTATCGCCAGAATTTTTAGGAATGAAAATTATATCTAATTCCGTTGGTGAATTATTCTTTTCAGGACGGAAAAAGAAAAGGAGAAAGCAAATCATTTGGAATTTCATTATCAATTTATCCTTTTAAATTGCAAAAATCATATCGTTATTAATTTATTTATTGTCTTATCGCATGCATTTAGAATTAACGCTGCATATTTTTGATAAAAATGATATGTGAATTAAACATAAAATTAAATAAAGTATTCTTACTTTCACTTATTCTCTCTCTCTCTCACTTTATTTTCCTTTCTACTATTCCGCTCTCTCAAACTTTATTCTTTGTTTCCAGTAGTTTTTTCTTGTCATTTCGTTAAAATTTATCGACTGTTATTAACCATTGCTTTGAATTAGCTACTACATATAATAATACTGTTCCATATATAAGCTTTTATGACAAAGAAAAAAATGAATACCATAAAAAGATTGTAATTCCAACCTGAACTGTCTGGAATAGCTTACATATCATTTGTTCATTATTTTACGAAACTTAATAATATTACTTGTGAAGAGAAATCCATCCCAGAAAAACTTCATTTTGAAACCGAATTAGCTCAACCGAATTAGCTCATTTGATGAAATATAATTCTTGAAATGATGAATGAAATTTAAAAATTCAACAATCATTTCTAAATTTATTTTGTTGCGTTGTTGCAATATTTACCACAAAATTTGATACCATTTTTATTAGACTTATTAAAACAATGTGCATTTTCACAATACTGTCCTTTGTTGTTTTCATGGAAATTTTTAGAAGCCAAATGTGTTTTGCCATATTGTACTGTGCGTGTTTTTTTTTGTTTTTCATTTTGCTTTTAATTAATGAAAAAGTTCAATCGATTATCGCATACTTAACCTATTTACCATTGATGTGTCCATTTAAGCTATCTCCTGCTTAACAAGTTTTCCATTATCGTATCCGAAGTAAAAATAGGTATCTTATGCTCAACCTATTTTCCGTTGTATGCTTTTTTTTGTTGATCATACGTACGATTATGGTATGTTTTGCAATATGTAACATGCACCTGTGTTTGATATCTACCTTCTTTTTCATCCCTCAATGTTTCCTTTACGCAACATCAATGAACAAAACGATTTTTCTATTGGAAAAGATATGGAAAAAAGAAGCAAAATTCATTAAATGAACGGATGGATGACTGAACACAGCAAAATGGGATAAAATGAGCGATATTTCATTGCCTGGGAATTGTTCAAAAATGTTACAAACGAAAGAGAAAGAGAAATTGTGTGAATTTTCTTTAAAAAAAATGAATTAAAATTGTTTGATAAATTTTATAAATGTTGCAAACCTAAAAGTAAGTCTATTTTACCTTGAAAAAATTAGACTATAAGATGTTGAATAAGATACGATTGCAGTAGGGTGGACAAGATAGGCCCTTTCATGAATTTGAATTCAAAATTTAATTTCAACATTAACAACCTTTATGAAAGTTAATTTGATGCATTAGTTGTCTAAAAAAAAATTTTGCATTATATTATAACGGTAGCATTAATTATTCAAATCATTTCCTTCCCATGTTTGCTCTCTCATCCTAACTGATCTTTAAAGTCATACGTATTATTTCTATTGAACTTCAAACAGTCTGAAATTGGTTAACAATTTTAACCGATTCTTAATGTCTCAGGCTAAAATTTAGATTCATTGTAATTTCATTACGAAATGATTCCAGGTATTCGTTCAATAGAGGATACTAATTAATAAATATCGAAATATAAACATCAATTTTTGATAAATTCATTGGGTTTAAATGGATTAAGGAAGGATTGATAGAGATAAATATAATGCTTGCGTTTCGGAGATAAGCGAGTTGAAAAACAGATTGCAGATGTGTAAAAACATGAGAGCTACAAGAATGTTATTGCGAATGTCTAATTTTCGGAATATTTGATTTGATGTAAATAAATGAATTTACTGGCAAGCACATGCAAACACATGTTTTTAATCTGGAAATTAAGAAAAAACGATTCAAAAATTAAGATCAAAATTGCATGAGCTTGTTGTAGATATCATAGGAAAATATAACTCACTGAACTGATTGAGTAAATAATCTCATAAATGATTAAACAGCTGACCGATTTTAGAATAGGTAGAGTTCATAATGAATTTTTAAAACTAGAAGAAAGAGCAGACTTCTCAATATAAAGTGTATCGATGCTTTCATTTCCGATCCAGCAATTTCATTTCCCTGTGGAATATTTAAAGATATAAAAGAAAAAGCATACAGAATGTTGACCATTTTTTCTTCTGCATTGATAATTCCTCAATAAATCCGATGACAACAAACATATCACAAACATTTGAGACCTTCATATCTTCTTTCAGGAAGACGGGAAAAATAAAGGCCTTTATATAAGTTATACTAAGCTTGAAAATACCTACTCATCTCCTACACCTTTTTTCATTAAACTTACTATTGTTCTTATTAATTAAACAGATAAAAAGAAAGTGCCGAAGAGTAACATCACTGGAATGTTGGAATAAATGAGACACCTGGCAAACATCTGTCCCATACATGTAACTTTTTTCTCTTTTTATAGAGAACACATAACAAGAGATTTCAAAAAATATTTAAAATAAATTAACAAATTGAGAATAAAAAAGAATATTGCTGGTTAATTAGACGTAATTTAAATATAAGAATGGCTGTAATAAGTTTTTTTTCTTCGTCAAAGATACATAGTATACACATCTAAACATGTGAAATCGTTAACAAATTGTGATAAGTTGGAATGATATGTTAATTAAACACACAAAGGAAAAAGATCAAGAACAAAAGATAAAAATGATTGTTCGCTATACTGTGAAAGAGAATTTATTTGAATAATGTAAATGGATTTTTCGTCTGATGCAACATTTAATTTGCTAATATTTGAAAAAAAATATTGGGCGAGAATTTGATTAAATTTAAAACAGATAAGTTAAGTGTGCGAAATAAAGAGTAATTTTCAAAAAGTCAATTCATCATAAAAGATTCATTTTGACTGTGAAATGTCTTCTTTATATCAAATAAGTAAGAAGAATTAATCATTAATAGTAAGTGACAGATAAACTAGCAAACGAAAGATTCGGCTGCTTGAATTAATCATCTGTGAAGAAATTGATTCAAAATATTCACGCGATTCTTGATAGGAAGTAATATTTATAAATTTATGAAATATTTTGTTTCAATTTTTTTCCGTTACCGCAATTCGAAAGACATTCCATACAAATCTAAATTTATGCATGAATATTGAGGACATCCAATGAAATAAAAGATAAAAGTTGAATGCATTTGTCATTTAATCAAAATTATCACTAAATTTCACCGTTCAACATTTTTTCCAGAACTACTAAACTTTCAACCAAAACTGTCTGCGTATTCATTAAGTGTAAATATTTATTTTGATAACGGTAAAGCTAAATATTGGATATAGTCTTACACCCGTCTTAGCTAATGAACTGAAGCTGTGAATTGTTAAACTGTCCAGTTCAATTCATTATGTGATGGTATAATTAGAAATACCATATCTTTGCAGTAGTTTCAAACAATGATTTCTATTTATTTTTATATAAGATCGATATATTATTTATGTAAGTAAATGATAATATTTTGCTTAATGATTTCGAATTTATAAAATGTTTTCAAATGCTTCAAATAGTTCGAAAACTTCCTGTGTAGTGATTATAATTTGCATGATTCATGATACCAGATGGCTATTGCATGAAAATTCATTACTTATTTAAAAGATCCATGCTATTCGGCTTGTTTCCCACCTCTTGTCACCAATTCTTAGATGCTATTATTTGTAATTATCATTGCTTCAATTGATTTCACCTTATATTCAATTCAATTTTTTATAATTTTCCGAATTTATAAAATTATCCAAAACCGTATTTCATATTGAAAATTTGAATTTGCTAACCACTAATGTCATTATGGCAAATTACGAATTCAAATTTTATAAGTGCTACTAATAATACAGTAGTTCACTTTGAAAAAATTTTAGTTTTTTTTTAATGCTTATTAAATCATAATTTATTTGAATGTTTAAAAAAAAATCATAATTTAATGTTTTTAATGCTTATTAAATCATAATTTATTTGAGTATTTATTCCTTTAATCGGATATGATAAATAGTGTAGCTATGAAATGAAAACCAATTCGTCTTTTCGTCACTGGAAAATGAGAAGACAGTTGATCAACAATTATTAATTAAGTATAAACAACAATAACTTGTAAGCAGATAGTAACAAAGCCATTTAACGATAGTTGTGTTATATTTTCGGGAGAATAAATAAAGCAGGGAACGATATAGGAAGCAATTTCATTGCTTTTATTCGGTACTTAAACATTTTGCTTGTGCTGGTGGTCAGTTGTGTAAGTTTGTGTTTAGGGGATGAATGGATCAGTCACTTCTTGTTGGTTGCCCCATACATTTTAAATGGGGTGTGTTGCTAACGTAAATGTTATTGCAACTGTTTGAGGCGATTGTTCAAGAGATAGATAGATGGATGGAGATGGATGGATGGATTGATAGGTGGATGGATGGACGGTATAATGGAAAGGGATTTGATTGAATGGATATTTAGGATGAGAAATTGCCACTACAACAACTACTACAACTGTAACTGAGGCACGTTTGTCCACCTTCCGCTTGCTCCTCCTTTTTCCTTCTTTTCAGTTGATCGAGAATTCTTGAAACCTAACTTTAACTCACTTACTTCTTCCTCATCTTCTGCCGTCTTTTCCATTTCAGCCATCCTTCCAAATTTCCTCCTCCTCCTTTCTCCTCAAACAACTGTCCTATCTTTTACATATGTTCTTCTTTGTCTTTAATCAACCCCTCCCCTAATGCCCTCTGCCATATTACTAATTCTTCAACTGATTTTAAAAATTCATAGATTTGCTTGTTTAACTTTTTCGCTTCATTCCTACTCCCTTCCAATCATTTCTTCCAACCAATATTGACGGAAACGGTAATACCATTCCGGCTGTTAACGCATCAATTTGGCATATGGCAAATTCCTATCGCTGGCCATTCACCTTTCAGTTTATTACAATATTTGTTTCTATTTAATTAATTTAAATTGGCAGTCGTGCCGATGGGAAAGTTCTAAAAACTACTTCAATCTGTTCTTCACTTCGTTAATCCAACATTTAGTGAATTGATATCTGGAATGGTCAATTTACATTCATCTCTGTGATAATTGTTAGCCATAAAAGGTGAACAGCTCCTTGATGTTCCTTTTCTGAATTTCATAATTCATTTTTTTACGTTTCAACTTTATATGCTTTTTATCTTTGCGGTTAGGTCTGCATTTAATGAAGAGGTGAAAATCAAGCGTTCACACAGAATGGCAAAATTCGTAACACACGATGATAAGCAGGAAAGTAATCCTTTTAGTTACAATATCGTTAAAATAATGTTATGAATTAGAGGATTGATATGGATGAGGCCATGGGCAGATCTAATGCTACTGCAAGCTTTCGGACGCTTAACTTGACAAGCTAAGTTTATTCTGTCATAGAAAACTTTATATTATATCTGGCAAGTAGAGAATAAGAAGTATTCTTTCATATCACTCATTCGATTGGGTCCAAACTATTAATTCTGATTACAGATCTTTATTGCACAATTCTAATCTACTATTTATCGGACCATCTTTTTATTCTTCATGAAAAAGGCCAGTGAGAAATTCTTTATATCGAATTTGTCATTAAGTTCTTTTCAAAAATCACTACTTCAAATGTTTTGATAAATGGGATAGAGTTTCCGCACCTCCGATCCATTTTGCTGCATAAAATATTTGCATGCATTGAGTCTCACATGCAAGTCGTTTCGCTAATTTGGTTAAATAATCATTCGGGAACACCATTCTGTCTTGGTTCCATCACTAACTATATTAGTTATTATCCGATGTTCCCACAGCCATCAGTTTAGTTTCGATTACGATTTTATGGCTTAGACTTTCATCGTACGTTTGTGAGGATCTGTTTCCACGATTTATCAACTCCTTTCTTGCTTATTGTTCAAATTATTGATACTATGATGAGAATCAGGAAAAGAAAAATAGAACAAAACTTTGCAAGCTGTAATACTATAATAAAATGAACATCAAAATGCTTCATCAATCGAACTAAGAAAGAAATTACCAATACACTTTAATTCTGTATAATCATTATGTTTTCACATTGGCAATATCATAAATTATCCACATTTTACCTGATTATTTTTGCAAAAATTTAATTGATCGTTTTTTTTTTAATTTTCAAAATTTGTATCATCTTAGATAATCATCAAAATTAAAATCGCCATGTTATTGGTTAATTCCAGGAGAAAATATCTGAACACTTCCAATAAAATCAGGAAAAGGAGATAACCCTCTGATAGCCTGCTACTTTTTAAAATGGTTCAAGTGATTTTAAAATTTCATCCAAACAGTCCACCGCGCGGTTCCATAGAATTTATAATTGGTGAAAAATGCTGCAAATAATTGCTAGAAATATAATGAAGTAAATAATTACAGAAATGAAATGAAACATCCAATTAATCCAAAGTCGTTACTATTATTATTGCCATTGTGCATTTCTTTCATAGATTCCTTAATTTTGAAACCAAATGAAAAGCAAATAGCGATTTTGAAAAAGACTGTCAAGGAATTGTTGGATTTCGAGCAATTACCAGGCGAGTCTTTTCTTTGTTTCCTCATTTTTTTATTTTTATTTTTAGTCTTTGTCGATCACCCGACATCCTATTCCGATCATTACTCCAATTGCTTTGACTTTTTAATAAAATTCCGATAATGTACTGTAGGTGATGTTGTACGGCCCATGTCACGCCTTGAAAACGCTGCTTCGAAATATATGCTGCGTTTGTTCAACAGATACAAAGAAAGTAACAATGCTCAGCGTTATCCGCTTGGGAACATTGTAAGAAGTATCAGTCCCAAAATTGGTAAAATATCGAATTTTAATTACAAAATTTCCAAACACATTAACATAATATTTAAAAATAACTTCCATCCGTTTTCTTCAAAGGTGTTGCGCTTGTTTCATTAAAACAACCTATTTGATTTCGTATGCATTGGTAAGTTCGGATTCCAAATCCCGGATAATCCCAATAGTGATTAATAATATCCCTTCATCTCTATCTCAGAATGCTATTTTTCTCCGCACCTGCAAAAAATTAATTAGCAATTATCTACCTCCGATATTTGCATTTTCCACAGAGAAAAGAAATTGTGATTTGTTGTGAAGTACTTTCAATTAGAATTTAGGAATAAATTTGAAAAAAATCTACTTCACATTTCTGTGGTGCGATACAATGTATCATTATGTATTAATAAATTTCTGTTGCTTAGGTAAAATGAAGCAAGCAAAAAAATTGACCTTAATTAACACTTGAAAACATGATCATATTTCAGGGACATTTATTTCAGGAACATTGTTTGATGAAGAGCTGTTGGTATTTAAGCTGAATGCAATTAAGCCAAGTGAACAGGTGTGCAGCAGCATAATGTACCTTTAAGTCAGACGCACCAATTTATCACTGCCTATTTTTCACCCATAATTTACAACAGCTGCCTTGAATTATTACTTAGCAAGCTTCTGCAAACTGAATTTCCTTTTTTTTTTTCATTTTCGGTTGACAATTTCTAACAAATTTAGCTTATTTATCGGAACTAAACATTGGTTAATTATAACTTTTGGCATCTAATTGCTGCTATAAAAAAAAGGAATTGATGATGTTGATATTCCGATATGATTTTTGTGAATTAGTCTTGCAATGTTAAAATATCTAGCGATAATTATGGTTACTTGCATAATTATAAGAAGTACTGAATGATTTGTTTGTAACTTGTGAACAAGTGCGGGAAATGTGTGAGAAACGGTAGAATGAAACAATATTCATATCTCGTTGAGTATTTCTGAATGAAATGATTACATGAGGTTAGTAAATCTAAGAGAGTTCGTATTCCAGGTAGTTCAAGCTGAATTACATTATAACATCCAGTACAAACGTCGTTTCATATGGAAAAAAGTTAAAGAAAGTGTAAAAGCATTTGGAATTTTGCAAAGCAATGCAAAAACGCAAACCGTACGACTAGCGCCCACTGCAAACTTCCGTTATTGGCTTAGCTTTAATATGACTAAATTGATTAACGAAGCATTACAAGCAAATCAAACTATTGTAGCTGTAAAGGTATATTTCATAATTGTTTATACAATACAAGTCTTATTTGCAATACAACTTGCTTGATTTACTCGTTATCCATAAATCCTACATAACTGAATAATTATTTAGTCATAATTACTATAATTATTCATCTACTACTAGCATAACTAGTGCTACTGCAAATATTGGCATGATTGCATGCAGAATAAAGCAATAGATATTTCTGTCCAATTATTTGTTAGGCAAAATCTTAGTCGAAATATGTACTGAAACCAACTAAAATATAATGCTTTTCATTGTGTCTATGATTAATGTGAAATTCGTTTAAAGTATAATAAAACAGCTAAACTTTTTAGTTTCTAAGAGATGGAAAAAAAATGAAATGTATCGAATTGATCAAGCGGAATGCACCCTTCTTGCTCATATATGCCGATGAACCGATATTTGCTGATGGCACAAAATTTCAATCCGCATTCAATGCGAAAACAATTCCTGATTTGCATATTGGTGAAATTTATCAGTATTTTAAAAATTACTTGCTTCAAGAAAAATTTTCGCAAACTGTCAGCAATTTGTTTTAATTATATGCCAACAATTTGGAACGAAATTTAAAGTATTTTGGATATTTTTTAACAAGCTAAATATCAAGTTTGTTGCTAAACTAATACTTAATTTTTTATTCCCATACTTAATTTTTCATTTTATTCTTTTGCCGAATATAAAAATGTGCTTAATTGAGATGCTGCAAAAAATTTGTCATCTGAGATGGCTAAAAAGCGCTCAAAAAGGATGTCTCAGTACTATGTATATTCGACGAAAGAAAAGCAGGGTGGTAATGATAAGAATTTAGAGAAGCAAACCGAGCGTCATCTTCAAAAATTCCGAGATTTAGGACCACGAGTATTACGAGATCGGAAACAAGTATTCGTTTAATTTTTTGATAAACAAAATTAATCCCTCAAATTTCGATTCACTTTTCCGACAATTAATATGTGAATTGCATCGATTTTGATTATGTTACTTGATAATCTTTATATAACTCCGTTAGAATGTCAAGTGCATAGTTCTTTAAAGTTCAGTTTAAGAATTCTTAACGACTAGAAAGAATAAGAAAGCAAGCCAAACGAAGTAGCAAACAATATCATCAGTATCATCTATCACTGTAGAAAAGTTTTCATTGACTCTAAACGATGTTTACTTCTCTTGACTGATTTGCAAAATTATCCGCAACTAAAAGTGAATATGAAACAGCACGGAATATAATTTATATTTTGCAATTATTTTCAGATAATATTTTCTGTAAAATATATGCATTTTACCTTTGCGTTTTTCGCTTTCCTACGATTTTCGCAGCGTTTTTCACTTTGTACAATTTACCTTTATAAATTAGAAAATTAGAGCCATGCAGAAGTATGAAAAGGAGAATATACAAACTTTTACGACAATCTTTCCTATGATAATATGAAAATCTTGCAAACGGTATCGTTACAAAGATATGATCTTGAATTCTTGAATGCCGAGAACAAGTGGTCCAAAAGTAGTTATCATCTAAGTCTTAGCCTTAATGGTAGCCTTTTATACTTCGCTTATTGTTTAGCTGCCTTTCAGGTAACACTTTTGTAAAGATGTGATGCAAATATCCAAAATACAGCAGCAATATTGTATCGTTTGAAAAATTTTATATCGTAATATATTGTTGATGCTAAATTGATGTATATGCATTAAACATATGTTTGATATAATAGAAATTCATCCTCTTTTAAAATATAAGCAGTATCTGTCCACATATAAGATTTAAACGATACATCAATGAAGCAAGAATAATCCATTGATGATATATATGTACTATTACTTCATTTAAATTCAGTTATATTTATTCGTAGTCACATCATATGTAATTAGATTTACTTGCGTGGATAGAGTAATTTTTGATAACTATTTATATTGGCAGTTTTTGCTTGAAAAAATCCTAGCAAATGTTTGCTTTGCTTGAACAAAATGAGGAATAATTTTTGCAGGATCGCCCATTACAAAGACGTAAGCAACAAAAAGCTCGCAGCACTTCTCGAAATGATCCAATGATGGGTTTTGGTATGGTGAAGAAATTATCAAAAGTTGTGACTGCTTCACCTTTTTCTTCTATAGAACAGAAAAATAATGATGATCTGACGGTGGTACTACTTCCAAGAGAAGCTTATTCTTCTCAGGTACTACTGATTACCACGATTTCTACTTTTTATTTACTCTTTTTATATATTCTCTTGTAAAAATTTTAAGATTTCGGTGTTAGACTATTCATCATCCGTGAACGATTGGTTTACTAAATTATAAATTGTACTGAATGAACTGATGATTAATGATGTCCGTTTTGCAAAGTTTTAATGAGTTTCTATAATGAATTGTTCCTAGTATTTCTCAGAAAATGTTTTCTCAGAGCTGCAGAACAGAAAAATTGAATGTACGATTTCGGGATATAGGATGGGAGCATTGGATTATTGCGCCGACGTCATTTGAGGCACACTACTGCAGTGGTACATGTCCTTTTCCGCTCAAGCAGGTTTTTTTTTTTTGACTTAGGATTTTTCCAGCTCCTATTTCAATTTTTCAGCTTATGTTGACCTGACACTTCTTTAATTTGAACTTATCTGCATGGTTTAGGAAGTGAACCCATCAAATCATGCGATTGTTCAATCAATAATTCATCGACTGGGCTTGAATCCATACGTCCCGGATGTATGTTGCGCACCAGATAAAATGGATTCATTAACATTACTCTATTATGATGAAATGGATAATGTTGTACTGAAAAATTATCCACGAATGACAGTTGCTTCTTGTGCTTGCTTGTAATACGGTAAATAACTAGCAATTTCGAAGTTACGAAATATTTGGGATCAATTAAGAAGAATTTTCTCTCAGTATTTATTAAAAATCAATCGATATTTCCTTATTTTATTACGATTTGTCACCGAAGGAAGCAAATGATGTGATAATTAAAATTTCCCATATTTATCATAATTATTTGTTAAGAAATATTGTTTCTCTTAAACTTTATTTGGTATTATCTCATGGATATCTCAGCGAACTCTTGACATTATTTACGTTTTGCATCATAGAAATCCATATTCTGCTACTAATATTCATGTGTAACCATTAAAGAAATAAAAAGTTAACAGTGGTAAGTTGCTCTTGAAAAAGTTCAAATTTTTAAAACAATTAATGAAGCAATTCTTATTTGCTGACCATCTTTGTATCAGAATTCCATGCAATCTTTTTGCCTTGTTAATAGACTATTGAGTATTTGAGATGTTGAATTAACTCATATAGAACAATGTAATAGAGACAGATTTATTTTCATGCTTTAAGCCAAATATGAATTGCAACTCATTTTGTCTGCGTGAATAAGGATTCCACAGTAAGGGAAAATCTCCTACTTCCAGATAGCATTTCCCTAGTGGATCATTTCGCAAACTCAGGGCACCATTTAAAACCAATAGTCGAAATGCAGATTGTCTATCATAATCATTATCGACATCGATATTTGATGAAGCATCGTAATATCGGGCAAAATTTGCTTTACTATTCCTTTGATCGAAAGCTACTCGTTTTCTGATATCGTTTCTATGTTGAATAGATTAGCTCTCTCGCAGCCATACCTTTCTTCATGTGTTCAACTGGAATGTTTAGAAAGCAAATACAACCCAGTTTCAGAGGTTCAAAATATTCCGATCACATAAATTATTCAGATCTTGGATTTCTGCTGACAGAATGATTTAAAAAGTTAAAAATTATTATTCTTTGCATTATTTGATCTTATAGTTTGCTTCCTTGGAAACCTTATCGAAAATAATAAGGAACGTTCGGAGTAATACTGATTGCACAGTGAAAATATTGTATTAAATACAAATTTATTTATTATTTTCAAAATCTTTGCTGAATAGGTGCTGTATATAATTATTAAATTAAATACACCTAATTTCATTTTTCGCTCTTTATTGGCAGTCAGCCATTAAAACGATTTTTGATCAAATCTCAAGTCAGTTTGACCATATTTTCAAATCAACCAAACATTTGAAATAAATATTAAAAATAAAGAATGACTGCCATGAAATTTGAAAATATACATTCTACCCATGTCGTTAATCTTAACCCTATCAACTACCCGCAAATAAGACAAAAGCAGACAATATTTTTGTTGATGCTCCGGTATGTTCATTTTGTTTTCAACACTTCCAACTGTTTCTACATCATATCAAAGTTTTGATTTAAAAAAGTGATAAACTCCTTAATCAGAAGACACTATATCGTGATCAATTTCCTTAGAAAATGAAGGCAAACTTTGAAAAAATTCAGACATATCATTCTAAATTGGAGTTATAACAATGAAAGAAAAAGAAAGCAGTTAAAAACAAAGGTGACTGAAACAGATCTTAATACTTTATTTAACTCATTCTAAGTAACTGAGACATAGTACACAAAATTTGGGATGCTGCCTATTTCAAAGATGAGATTTATGCTTTGTTCCAAATTCAAAAACAATTTAGCCTGACAGCCGGTATATAATTAAATGTGAATCTATATTTCCTTAAAATCTAATTTTTTCATTCTAAGTGCAGATGCTTGAATGCTTCAATTATATCCATCCAACCTTCTCACCACATAAATAGTTGCAAAAAATGAAATATTGTGATTTTCATTAGCTGCCATTGTAAAGTCATACATAACATGGATAAAATGTGATGTGATGAGGCAAAAGAATTTATTTCTATAACCACCCGTAATAGGAAGAAGTAGCATTTAACAAATCAAAAGAAAAAAAAAACGGTATAGTGGAAAAATTACATTGCAATGTAAGAAAATTACTGACATGAAGACTGGTGAAAGAACAGCTAATTTTCCTCTAAAAACGGATAAAAAACATTTTTCTTACTCTTACTAAACAGATTTATAAAATTGAAGACACTGATTTTGCATTTCTTTCAGCTAAATATTTGGTAACAATGTCTGGGATACATTAGTAATCGAAAATGAACACGACAAAGATAATTAATATTTGAAAATAATTTTAAAAATGCACAATAAAAGTTGATTATGCAGCATACATAGAGAGAGCATAAAATTTTGATGAGCAAATTGGAAGAACATAAAGTTGACTTGCGTCGGCACAGAAAAAGAAATAAAGTTCACTTACACTGGCACCAACAAAAAGGATAAAATTTCAGACGACTGCTTCCAATGGTACCCCAAAAGGATCAAAGAAATGGCATTTAAACCTGCTCTTTTTTTTTTTTACAGCATGGAATATTTTTAGAAAACTGTAGGTAGTTCACGTATTATGGAAAATAATATTTCGGAAAAATACTTAACATTCAAGTAACAATGTCTTACATTAATTTAACTTATCAAAATCAACTAGGAATCTCAGAATTCCACAGAAATCTAGTTAATGAAGAGGACTTTTAAGAACTTCTAAAAATTAACTCTTGCTGGCATAGCTGAACTGGAAAAAACCTGATTTGCAGACATTATTATGTATTAGTATTACAAATACTAAGCAACTTCTTCACAGCATAACTTTAATTACTTTTCTTAAACTTATATATATTCGAATTCCTACTTTCGAATACATATCCAGCTGACTTCAAAGAATAATTTAGTAGTATTCGGGGATTTACAACTTTAAAACGAAAAAAAAGATGGAATACCTAAGCAAATAATACCACGAAATGTAGAGCAATTAAAAACTAAATATAAGCAATTCAATTGCATAATCAATGATGAAAGATAACTTCATTAAATGCAATCCCTCAGAGAGCCGTTAGAGAGCAGTACTGACTTTAAATCATCATCCACGCATGCTAAAATAGCAGAAATTTGTGACTGCAACCGAACTCGCGAACTTTCGGACGATTCATCCAAATTTTGGATGCGATCGTTTAATTTGAGAACAAGATCGACAATTTCAACTTGTGGACGTTTGTGAAGTGTTTCTTTGCTGAAATCTGCACTACACAGCATCTAAAATGAAATATTTATGGACCCATTTCTTAAAGACTATATAGTGAGCCACTTCATAGATACCCTTAATTTTGCATTTAGCGAATATCAAACAAGAAAAACTGTAAAAGACAGCAAGATCAGTACTTTTCACTTATTTTCCAGTTTTCTTGCTTCCTCGCATAACATTCTCTCTCTGCCTTACCCTGTTTTTATATCTTGAGGACAACTTTAAAAGTTCTCTATATAATCAATAATAATTACTCAATAATTGATAATTCTTAACGATAAACATACTTCTAGATGTAGGAGTCGCAAATGTCGTTCCAAATCAGCCTTTTTGCGAGATAACCAATCATGAAAATTTATTGAAGTTGTAAACTTTTGATACAAGCCTGAAATAAACATGTCCGTTTAACCGACTTCAGCTATTTCACCTGATTACTTTATTTGAAGTGTTTTTCAGTCTTAACTCTGGAACTGAATAAATTTCAAAAAGTGAAGAAAAAAGGAAAAAGACGAAAAAAAGAAAAACACAAAAAAATTACCGCGCCAATCACCTCTGATACCCGATGTCTGCATAATCCTTGTCTCATCTAAGACAGAAAAGAAATTGTCCACTTCAAACGGGTAAATCTGTGGAACATTCTGCAACCAATTACACAATAAATACTTATAATTGAACATTATGAACAGAGGTGAATAACAGTGATAGAATTATATCCTTCAGAAATCTCTCAACCAAAAATACACAAATTTCTCGACGAGAAAATCCATCTGCGAAAAAATGAAAATACTTTGAACGGTGACAAATGCTTTTTCAGAGGCATTAGTGATGAAACGTAATTCTCTAACGGCATCATGAAATTCTGTGTTAAGTCAAGTATCCGCCGTTGTAGTTCTGTTCCATCAGCGCAATCTGAATTGCTAGCCTTCAAAGCATCTTTGAAAAGCATTTTGTCCTTTTGAAGAAACATTTTGTACTGGCTAAATAAGCCATATTTCATTTCGAGAACGCGTTTATTCCAGACTTTTCTGCAATGTTTAGGATGATAAGAATATCAGTCCAGGAACGACGTCAAAAAACGGATTAATAGGAAAATTGTAATTAAAGTAAATAAGTCCTGACAATTATATTCTCGAAATTTCAATCAAACTAAAAACGAAAGATTTCCTCAAATAGAGGTGGACATACTTCCTTTTTCCTCCAACAGAGATCTGTTTCTCTTGTGAAGGAACTAAGCGAATAATATGGGGCCAGTTTTGAAATATTTTTGTAAAGAATGGATTGGTTACTCCGAGAATTACACTTGGCCTGCAAGAAAAAAATGCAAAACATCAAAAAATAAAAACCAAAAGTTGAGGATACTAAATGACTTATTAACTTTAAAATTTTTGTTTCATTTAATAATTACATCTCGACAATGTCTTCTATTTGTTCATGATTGGTCAAGAAAAACGAGTACCATGGATCAGTTTTTGACGAATATTCTCGAAATTCAGTGTCATGGATTGTAAAGAAGGGTCGATAATCACTGGAATACCTAGAATTATCCACAATGAAAGCTAAAAGACGATTTGAAGGCAAACATCTGAAGAAAGTTAATTATAGTATATTTGCATATATATTATATACCTTAATGGCCATATCAAAGAAATGAGGGACTGCACGAATGTCGAACATTCTGACGGATTTTGAGCCAGCACTACGATTGGCTGAAATAATTTTTCTTTCAATTTTAGACTCTTAATCTTCAGATTAATCCAGATTTTTCCAATTTACAATCCATAATGGTGCAAGTCAAACTTAACGACATCCCCATAAACGTTATATTAAAGAAAAAACTACAGGAAAAAAAACATTTCAGAAATTACCTCTCCAGTTAACACTAATTCCCATAACAACTGCACATGGTTAACAACAAACAATAAATTTCTGAAACAAATTTTTTTTCTTTTTAAACGTAATAAAAGCTAATATTACAGGAATAGATATGGCCCAACCTCAAATTAACATCTTTCTGACTTCTCTACCTAATTCATTCAAAAAACTGAATCAAATAGGCTTTTCAACTTACCCATGAATATTCGATTTATTCATTATGGATAATAAAACTGGGTTTTTACTGGGTGACATTAACTGAAAAATTTACAAATAATGAATCATGAATTCTTACATTTTTCGGAAATAAACGGCGGTGTTTTGAGCGTGCTGTAAAGCAAACGTAATTTATAACTCAATTTTTGCTTTTCCTCAAATAAACCTACCACACATTCAATCCCAATTCACTTAACAAACTTACTTTAACATTCATAAGATAACTTCTTTGAGGTGAATATATATCAATTTGGCATGGAATTCGGCACTGTATCACATTTCCCATTAGTGGTAAACAAAGCATGATACCAGGAATGGGAATCGACCATTGATCAATATGATGGCAGGCTAAACAAATAGATGTACAAGTGATTCCACTATAAAAGGAAAAACGGAGTGATGAACTTCTAAACTCATCCTGCTGTATAAATATCTGATAACAATATGATACATAAAAAAGAATGACTGAGAAGAAAGTTCTAATGGATATAGCAGTTGAGATGAATCTATTGTATGTTTTGAAATATTTCAGTGTTAATTTCTGCAATCTGACACCGCATAACGTCACAAATAGATATTTATAGCATAACAAAAAAAGATGATAAAAGAAATACATTTGAAACTTAATTGATTACTACTGTTACTTTACCTGCCTCGATCGCTGGTTCTCCAGAATCAAAAAAGCCTTGTGCAATCACACCGACAGCAAGCGAAAATAAATCAAAAAGAGGCAACACTGTTAGTAAAACAAGACTCTGCAAGTGATAACTTACATATTCATTTAAAGATCAAGTAGCTGATAAAAACAAACTCCTAACCAATCAAAGATTAAAAGTTTTGATATTTTGAAGAAACAAACCTTTTGAAAGTAACCACGTGGCAACGAAGAATCTTTCTTTTGCCTGTAAATCAAACCAAACATAAGGAACGCGCGTGACAAGTAAGTAAAATATCAGTTGAAGATGTACCAGTGAAAGATCAATTTAAAAAATGATTTCCGAATGTAGTGATGAAATTTTGCCACAATGTAAAAAAAAATTAACTCTCTAAATAATAAAGACATACGGAACAAACCTAGAATGAACAAATCCATAAAAATATTGCGGGTCGACATCAACAGCTGCCGGTGCGCGTCCTGAGTATGTACCATATGCAGATAAATTAGAACCAGATGATCGACGTATCCGGAAGTGAAAATTGGTATCCCGAGCCGCGCCACAATTGGAATCCGGGAATGATAAGTAACATATACTGCTTTTCTCATTAAGTGTCAACTGTGCATCGCCGGGATATATTACCTGATGTAATAAGTAAGCAAAGTGTAAAAAAAAGGTAAAGCAAGAGTGATTTCTTTTCATATGGAATTTGAGTTACAAATTATTAGCATGAGACTGATTCTAAGTTCAAGAATTAAATAATAATATAGAAAACTACGAAATTTTAAAACTAAAACTTTCAACTTTCACGTTTAACTTTAAGAAGTTTGTGAAAACTAATTTGTAGAAGTCGTAATTTCACGCCAGAAGTGTCTAGATTTCCATAAATTCTATTCAACTGCTCAACTTCAGGTTTACTGATGACACGGTGAATGTCAGAAAATTTGTAAACAAATACTTTAATAACTTATAGCTCTGCTATTTCAGATTTGATTTTCAATAAAGAAAAACTGGTAATAAGAATCTTTGGGAAAACTTATTTGAAAAGAATACTCACTTCAATTGACTGTCCCAATTCAAGATCGAATGTCACCACACAGATGCAATATACCCAGCGACCAAACTTTTCCCACGGTGGTGTATCAGATGCCTCCATGTTATTTGTAACGTTCATATCAACTTATTAATAATCACCAATTGATAACAGAATAATCACTTCCCTTATTGTCAGCAAAATTTAGTAAGTTGGCACATCGCTGAAACTTAGCAATTGTGAATAATCTGAAACTACATTCAAATGCATCACAAGCATAAATTTTACAAAATGATTAATAAAAATAAAATGCCATTAATAACTGAGAGAGAGTAGAAAATCGTATGGATAAAGGTTTGATAGAACTTGAAATAATGTTAACTGGGAATTACAAAAGATGTATGATATTATCAAATCAAATTATCAATCCGAAGTAAAGCCATTGCATGGGTTCGGATGCGAGTTGCGGCATTTCTAGTAAAATGATTGGGTGGAGCTTTCGCTTATTTGCATGGTAATACGTTGTTTAGCTGATTTACTCGATCAACAAGACAAAACTGACAATTGGGGCATAGTTTACTGTAATTACATACTACAATACTGCATCTATTATTTGATACTTTTTATATCAATTTTACCATTAGTTCTAAAAAGTGGTGATTAAATTAAATATATTGTAATATGTCGATGAGGCATAGCAGATGACCGTTATTAATAGATGTCGATTAATCAAAGCAGACAACTGCTTTTAGTAAATGGAGATACTTCAGGTATTTCGGTACGGCTACGATATATATGAGGTGACCTGAATTGATTCATGTAGCCATGCTCCACACTCTTTCTGCTTGTTATTACTCTTCTCTTCATCCTAAATAAACCATAATTAAAAAAAAGGAAACTGATATTTTCATAACTTATCAAGTCGTTCTCAAAACTGTGTAGCTCATATTAAGCAATCGTAGTACTAATACAATCGTAATACTAATTTAATAATGTAATAATATCATAGTTACGTCATATTTGAAGATATATTAAACTATGATTTTTAATTACTATCATAACATACATTGTGACTGTTGGTAGATGGTACTCACTGTAACATACGTCACGTTACATTTAATTCTCGCGAAACAAAGATCAAAATAAGTTAAGAATGAGTAGTGACGCTGGCGTTGTAACTGCCTAAGCAGATAAACGATGACTGATAAGGATACGTTCATGTAATAATGTCGTAACGTCGTAATAATGTTGTAATTACGTCATATCTGAAGATATATTAGACTATGATGTTTAATTAGTTGATAGAAGAGAGAAAGAGAGGCGAAAAAAAAAAGGAAAACCGGTTTTGGAATTTGAAGTAGTCCAAGGAATGTAACATTATTGCTCTTCCTGCTATCGACGGTTGGATCAAGAAGTAACGGGGATGGGGAGGGAGGAAATAGAGATGAAGTAAAAGTAGTGTTCTCGACTGTCAGCTATGTTCCTGGAAAATGCGGAAATCTTTTCATTTACTTGACTCCTCCCGATTTTCATCAATAAACAACAACGGTGATCGACCGTTTCCTTGTGATACGCCGCCACATTCCTCCTCAATACACACACTTTTTTATTTTTTTTTACCTTTCAATTGTAATCGTAAGCAGTGAATGAAGCAGTATTACGATTACTTATTATCCGAGCATCCTGAAATAATTCTGTTGTTCGTGGTTTCATCGGAAAAGGAAAGAAGGAAGAAAAAAGCATTGAAATATTATAGAAAGAGCAGATTTTGAAAAATGAAATGTAAACAAATAATATCTCAATAATATTGGATCCCTTACCAGATGCAACATTAGTACCATGATATTATTTGCCAATCAGTTTAGTTCACTTTAAAGGAGTGTCGAACTCTGATTAACAAATATTTCTTTATTTAAATTCTCTTTATTTTCTAACTCCTGATTGAACCATTCTGCAACAATTTGAATAAGAATGAGCAGTAGTATTGTTTGTTTCGTTCGGAACTTTTTGGCCTTTCGTTATCCTTATCCGTTTTACTCTTTATATTGAAAGTAGTGGTATATTTGATATTTGACTGTGATTTCTCAAGTTTGAATATTTGAGATGTGATCGTTTGGTTTTTCAAATGGATCTTTAGTTTTATTGATTTTTTTTCAGGATTGATATTGATGATTACTGCTTAACTTTATGCATGAATTAAGCCAAATCCCGCATTTGAATGGAAATGTTAAGCAGATACGTGCTCGAATTGAACATGATCAAGCGTCTGATACTGCTATCATCAAAGAACTTCCCCCACCTAACAATATTAGTAAGTTAGCTTCTTATTACCTCATGCTATTGTTGTTAAGACTATAATTTTCAAATTATTATGTATTTGCAAATCTCTGGACCCAAATAGCCCTAAATTTAGTCTATACTGATTGGCCAATAAATTATTAATGAATGTCGAAATTTAGGATAACATTTTGAATTTCACGGATTTATTTCCAAAATTTTTTTCTTTCTTAAGAACTATTTTAAATGATTCATTTGCAATAAGTCTGAGATAAATCCATTTTGATTGAAGCTGTATCTTCATCTGGCCACTGTAGTGTTGCTAATTTGTGATTGAAAACAGAGTTTAACTTCAATCCTTTTTTAGTAGAGCAGAGAAAAATACTTTTCGAAGGTAGTAAAATCAATAAGGAACAAAGTTCACCAAAATGGAAACAGAAAGCGGCTGTGATGCGGAAACCGTGCAAAAGCGTAAGTCATTTGAATGCCCGAATCAAAAGTTAGTACAAAGTTGGCAGTTGATGCCATATTTGGGGTTAAAAATAATGATCAGAGAAGCGAAAGGTGAACTGCAGTTCTGTATTTTTAATATGACAATATTATCAGTAATATCCGTGGTAAGGGAATTAAGAAATGATTTAAGTGGGCCTACATGGAATGATTTAAATTAGCGATCCAATCGAATAAATGCAAAAGAAAAGAGATTGTAGTTGTGCTGGAACGTTCTGACTTGCTGTTCATTCCCTTTCATTTGATTTTATTTCCTGCTTTAGTTTTTTGTTTCAGCCAACGCCTGTACTTTCCCCGGTGAGTTCAGTAAATAACAGTGAAGATGGTCTTTCATCCGTGAATACTGCAAGGTAGCTTTTTTGCTGATTTCTGTGTAACGAATATTAATGTGATCAGTTAGCTGTTAAATGCGAATAAATGCGAATTTCGTTTGCAGAATACCTTGTTGTTTTTGCTGAGATCGTTTTGCACACCGTCTTTGGTGTCTTTGCCTTGGGTTTATTCGGTAGTTTTCCATTATCATAATGGCGAATTCCATTTATTATCGAAAGTTTTTTGCTAATTTCCTTAGATTACTTAACGAAAATTGTGCAACTGCAACAAATTCGAGCATCTCTTCGGATTCGGATATTCGAGGACATCAAATGAAAGTGCGAAATGCAGTTGCATTCTATGACGGCTTGATCGATTCTGGACAGATAGTGTCACCGACCTCTCTCTGTAGTCCAAGAGATTCGTCGTTTCACCAACAAAGGTATTATTTCAGTTGTTGTTGCATTCTTATTTTTCGTTTTGCAGGCAGCTTGCTTGATTAGTTTATTCACAGGTCTTCAATTTTTATAGTGTTACAGCATTGCAGCTCGATGAGATCTTCCGTAATTTCGGATGGTTCTTGGATAGATCTCCAGCTTAGAAGTCCACTTTCTAGTGAAACAGAATCGTCATGTTCGGAACAAAATTTTGATTTTTCTGAAAGAAAAGCTGAAGACATTCATGAAAAAACGTTAGTTCCAGAGGAAAATTTCGAATCAGATGAAACTTTGTAAGCATTTTGCAACCAATAAAGTTAAATTTATAGCCTCACGATTTCTCGTCAAAGTCATTTATTTGAATGCGTTCTAATGGGATTACGTTATTTAACTTTTATTAGTAATTAAGTTTATGTTCGACTTTATTTTGTTAATCAGTTTTAAGTTTTACTTAGCGTATGCTTTACTTCGGAAGTGTGTTTCAAATATCTAACTTAGCTTCGGGTGAACACTTATGTTCGGTAAAGTTTCATGTATTTTCGAGTGTTGGATGACATCGATAATAGTTCTTGTTTCATTTGTTAATAAGACTGCAGTATCAAGTTTCTAAAATAAAATAGAATTATTAAAAAATTACTTTAGAATAGGACCTAGAAAAGCATCGACTTTTAGGCAATTATTGCAAACAACTGCAATAGAAGAGTTACAAAACAATGTTTTCAGAGAGATTGGTGCTAGGTAATCAGCTAATTGTTGGTTAAAATGCAAAACAATGGCGAAGTGCCTTATTTATGGCTTAAAATCTCTTTGATAATCATCTAATTTCTGCCAACATCCTCTCTAAATGTACTATTAATTTTTTCAGGACATCGAAAGATGTAGTAGTGCATGATTCGAATACTGCCGTTAATTCCAAGATGCGGAAATCAAGGGTAATGTCGATTAAACAGGTCTATTTCATTAGTTTTTTTTGATCTTCAAGCTACTTCGCTTAATATTTTTTTCAAAAAATAGATGTATTTTAGAATCTAGAATCTAACTACGAATTTTTGCTTTCTTGCGATTCTGATGCTACATCGTCGAGGCCCAGTAGTGATGCTTACAGTATAACTAGTACACTTTGTCGTACTAGCACAATAGGTCCAACAAGAAATTCGTTTGATTCCTCAGTTATGGACATCTTCTACAATACCGGCTCTCGAGAAGAGGTTTTTTTTTAGATTCAGAACAAATAATGAGGTGAATCAGGAGATGTCTAAAACTGTTTGTGGTCAGTTCATTGTATTTAGTACAAAGAAGCGGACACTTTTATTATTTTTATTTCTTTGATTATATTCATAGAGATGGAAGTTTTAGAAGTTTTGTAGAAAGTCTTTACTGGAAATTTTGTTCAAAGTGAACTATCATTGCGATAAAAAAATTATGAGAATTACAGGATCAGAGATTAAAAAAGCTTCACTATGCAGCGGTCGAAATTTATACAGTTGAGAAAAAATTTGTTGAGCAGTTGGAACTTATTGCTGTGGTAAGTAGTTCGTATTTAGATAATGGCCAATTCTAAATTCTGACTGTTTTTTTTTTCGATTTATATCTATATGTCCTGTTTTTCAGAAATATCCTAAATTTTTGGCAGAATATGGGAAGGAATTGGGGATCGATTTGTTGAAACCGCTGCCAAATGGGCATCCTCATTTGATCAGTCATATAGCTCAGCAGCTATTGATGGTGAAAGAAGCGCATAAGTTTTTGTTGGAAAAAATTTCATCAAAAATTGAGAATTGGTATTTTTTTAAATAAAAATTTAAAATAATAGTTATAATTCTTTTCATCATATAATTCGTTTTGATGTAAAGGAAATCATTAAATAAAAAACTTCAAAATAAAATTTTGCTGATTCTGGATAATGTTGAAAATTCCTACGAAATAAATTTTGGGAGCTGCATTTACAGTGGAAAATTTTCACAGGATTCTAGGGATTCAAGAGATCCAAATATGGCAGAATGCCTTAAAAATGGTGCTGGTTTGTTGAAATGTTGTCTTCCCTACCTCAAAGAAAAGAGAAAGCATGTTGATGATTTCATAAGATTACTTCAAGATAACGAAGAATTAGCTCGTGCGACAGCAAAGGTAGGCAGAATTGAAATATTTTGAAATGAACAGTTATTATTTGATCGTTCTGCTCAGTTTGTTATTTTCAGTTCGAGGAACAGGTAATGGGTAAAATATCCATAATTCAGCAGCTTGATATTGTTCACCAAAATGTTGTGCGTTATACGATTTTACTGGAAGCTTACAAAAAGCACTTGATACCTGAATCTAACGAACTGGAAGTCTGTAAAGGTTGGTTTTAGTTAGACATTTGCTTTTCATGTTGTCTAGAAAACTAAAAACTAATCCTTTCTCTTTTTAAGCAGCCTAACATATTTACACCAGCGCATTTAGTAAAGTTTTATGAAGAAAAAGCTTCGTATACTTTTGCCTTATTATTCAGAAGCATTGGTGCAATTATCAAAAGTGTCGGAATTAGTTGATCGGCAGATTAGTCGTGCTGAATTGGAAAAACGTTTGATTGACTTGTATCGACGACTTGAGGTACTTCTTGTTGTTGAAAAAATTTACCGTTAATTTTCAAATCAACCTAAATATACGAGAATTTTGTATGTAAATTGAAATTTGCAGGGAAGGTTTAATGTTTTCGAAGCAAATCGGCACCTTTTGTTTGAAGGCGAGTTGATGAAACAATCACGGAAAGATTTACAACCTCGTTACCTGATATTAGTATGTTCTTTTTTCAAAAATGTCTTTATGACGTGGAATTTCGCATATCCTTATCTTGAATAGCAAAAGTTACTTGTTGAACAAGGCATGTTGTTTCCTGAAGAATAAACGAAATGATGTCTTCATGCATGAAGTATTGAGGCACATTGTCTTCGCTACTGACTAAAAGCGACGATCTAGTTAGGCCGTCGGTAATGTGCATAATTATGGGAGGTGTTTGTTCCTAACTACAGCACAAAATACCTGCACAAAATTTTATCATAGTGCTTACTTGCCCAAACCACTGTGGTAGCAAGATGTGGTGACAGATAACAGATGTAAAGGAAACTTTAATGGTAATAAATCGGTGATGTTGCACTTTGTTTCTCTAAAAATGACTGAAGTTTTACACAGCTTTAATGTATTGCAGTTCTCGGATATGTTATTAATTTGTAAATATTCAAGAACGCCTTCGCTTGGAACAGATGCCAATTTTCATTCCGAATTTTATAAATTTCTTGTTTCTCGAATTCGTGTTAAAGCAGAAGAACACGGCGAATATGACACTCATTTTCAGCTGTACACTACACAGAAAAGTGCTGTTTTTATAGCAAAGTATGTTTTGTTTTTGCTGAAGATTTGTCGATTCGAAACTCGTCATTCTAATCTATTGAAAAAGCAATTAGCTCAGAATAGCTGGACAATCACGGTATGAAAAGTCTCTTCTAAAATCTTTAGGAAAGAATTCGGTTATAATCTGTGTTAATTGCCAAAAACCACTTGCAAAATGTGTTCCATTTTCACAGAAAGATACTTGCATTGTATAATGGAATGGTACTGATAACCTAATTACTTTAGGCTTTTGGTATTTAATTTTTTAAGTTTTATTTCAACAAATAACAAAAGTGCTTGATTCTTTAGAACGAAACGAGAACGAGATGATTGGGTAAAACGAATCAGTGAAGCGAAAATGGAGGCAAAAGAGTTGCGTCGCATTAAAGTTGTTAGAAACAAGGTTGTTCCTAAACAGTTCATGTTAAGATAGCTGATATTTTATTCGAAATTTAAGATAGCTGATATTTTATTCGAAATTTTCCTGATTTCATTTTCAGATTCTCAATGTTCGAGTAATGCATAAAAGTGAGTTAACGGGTGAGGGTATATCGGATACTAGGCCGTCGAATAGTGGGTCGGATCACAGTGTTTCACTGCAGACTGCTGGGAAACACAAGTATACACCATTATGGATTCCTGATCCAAAAGCAACGTCGTGCATGATGGCTGGTTGTTCTACAAAATTCAATGTTCTGAATCGTCGCCATCACTGTCGTGAATGTGGATACGTAAGTTCGTTTATATTTTCCTACTGGAGAAATAGTTTTCATATCTTCAATAAGTTTAGGTTTATGTCTTCAATAGGTTCGAGGCCATTTCACTTAGAAGCTTTAGAAAAGTCATTGGCGAAGAAAATACCAATTTGTTTAGAATCTCTACATTGATATGCCTCTATATAATAATACAAGAAAAAATTTATGACATTAAGTGATGTAGTCAACCAAATAAAGGGTTAGAAATTTTCAGCTTTCAACTTGAATTTGATTTGAATAAATGAATTAATTACAGTTAATATGTCGTTCATGTGTTGGTTATGCTCCTGTCAAAACTAACAGTTACTATGTACGCACCAAAGTTTGCCCAGAATGCTATGTGAAAATTATCAAAAAATGTTTGTTCAATATCATGACTTTTTTCGATACTGCTGAAAAATTGTCTCTTTGCTGCTTATTAATTTTAAAATTCTTAATTTCATGCTTTGTGTAAGATAATATATAGTCTTATTTCAGGGAAAGGAGAATTAGGAAGCATGACTTTCACAGCTCCGGAAAATGAATCTCTGACTAAAACTAGTGTTCCCAGTCGAAATGCAGAAGGAGTAGTATCTGGCACCGTATTTCTCAGGTTACTTTTTCTACTTCATAGATTCATTCTTCATCATAATGCAATGTTTTATATAGTGCTAATAATCCCCATTCTTTTCAGGAATCAAAAAGGTGGTGAGAATGAAAAGTGGGGTCGGCTTACATCGCATGCAGATGGTGTGTTAGTGCTTTGCTTTTATGATGCGGAGTTTGTAAGTTCTTACAGATGTTTTGTTAATTCTGGTGGCCTTCTCCAGTAAAAAAGCTCACTTTGGCTATGTTTCACTGCATTCCAGAAAGATGTTGATAGCTAACAAATATGGAATAAATAAAGCATAAAAGTGTGTGGACTAAAAGTTTTTACTGCTTGAGGATGTGGATCCCGTGGCACGCTACGTTCTTCTAGGATTTACACTTTGTACGCAAGAATTAGATGATGGTGGCCGTTTGTTTGAGTTGCGGCATGCTAATCAAGTAAATGAGAGGAATGGTATTTCACTGCATTTTCGAATTGCACATTCGGGAAGTGCTGAGAGGTTGTTTACTTGACACTTGATTATTTTGTTTACGTGGCATTTGATTAATTTAAGTGAATAAATAAACATATGATTAAAATTGTTCCCTGGTAATATTAAATCTTAATTTTGGAAATCCTTATCAGTTAATTTCGTTTTAGGTGGTACAGAACGCTAAAAAGAGGATTGGGAAATGGTGGCACCGTATTTTCGTAATCGGTAGAACTGGAGCTCCATTTCACATTTCTCGTTTTTTTACCGAAACGTCGATGGTGTCCTCTTGTTATCAACACCTACTTTTGGTCAATACTGATTTTTGGTAGTGTTTTTCCCTCGATTGTATAGCTTTACTGCATGGAATTCGTGTATATGTTTATGTTCAACATATAATTCAATACTTTGTGATGTATTTATTGACTCTATTTCAGTTCCAGCAATTGTGAAAGTCTTAATTATCTATTCGTTTAATTCAGCAATGAGCATTACGGCACTGCGTGATGTATAAATTTCATGAAATTTATGATACAACAGATGTATGAGTAACATTAATATTTACTCGTTTGGTTGTTCGAGTCAGCGTTGGTTTCTTAGATTTTGTAAAAGTAATTTTGATGTAAAATGTGGTCCTAGGTCGGCAAAATCTTCAGTACTGCGGTGTTTGGAGGGCCGTAATACCGGATCACCCTAATCTAGCAGGTGATATTAGAGGGCAAACTTGATGTCTTCTTTCCACATATTATAACCACTAAATTCCGAACATCCTGTTCTCTCGTCTTCAGAATAAAACTTTTCGAGGGAAAATTGAGAAAAAAAATAGAAAAAGTCATGCTTCACCTATTTTATTCTTATATGGTTGCTCTCTACTCTGCTGCAAAACTTCTATTAGCACCGTACCGTAATACGGTAGACATTAAGTAGCCCCACATTACACTTCCAGTGATGACATGCTAGGTTCCAGTATAAATAAATGGTGCTAAGAGATGAATGGCATGGGACAGCTTGCAGACTTGAAAATAACATTGGTATTAGATGGTACAGAGAGAACAAGACAGTCGTGATCTTGCAACCTACCTTCTTGAAGTCACCTTTGTCGTGGACAAGCATAAGTGCAAATTATAAGCCAATAAGGATGACTCTATAAACAACGAATTTATTGTCAGTGAGGTCACGATTGTGACATTAGAACAAGGCAGAAAGTGAGATAACCGCAAAACAATTGTTAGAACCAATTACATAAGATTCTGAAATGGTCCATTCATTTAAAATCACAATAAACTTTTACGCGTCAGCACTGCGTGGTGGAACAACTGATGAGAAAATAAATTTACAAAAAAAGGATCATAAATGATTATTGAACACCAATACGTATTATTTTAAATGTATTAATATTTTAAATGGGACACTGAAGAAATTGTGATTCAAGGAATCTATTAGAATAACAAAAGTTCCCTAAATATGTCAAATCAGGGTGAAGATTCCGAAACAAGACTGTTATCAAATGGTTTAAAGAGAGTGGGCTGCGCAACCTAATCTGTGGAATAACTTTTTTTCAACTGGTCCATGAACCAAGGTTGACCCGTATTTCGAGCTGTCAACACGTCGCATCCGGATTCAGTCACCAACAATGTCTGTTCAAACTGTGCCGATGGTTTCCCATCACTCTAAACTGGTCAAACAGTTATAACAACGAAACTAGTACTAAAATGTCCATTTCATTTATCTCGAAATTTAAAAAAAAAGGCAAGAAAACGCACGGTGACAGCAGTCCAATTGTCTGGCCAGCGTTCATTGTTATGAGCACCAGCGTTAATCATTGGCTCGATGGTAAATGTATTGCCAGCCTTCATAACTCCGGTCGCTTTGTTTTCTAAAAAAGATAATCAAAGGCTACCTGAAACAAAAGCAAATGACGTTCAGGTAAGACCTGCGAATCATTTGCTATTGTTCACTTTTTCTTTAAAGTTTGGAAAAAGGTTCATCGTTTAGTAACAAATGGAGACTACAGAATAGAAACGAAATTTCAAACATGAAGGTAAATCAGCAAAATCAAAGCATACTTGCATAATGTGGTACATTCGGCACAGTGTGGAAAAGCCTAAAACAATGAAGGAGCGGTAACTGACAAACTGTTTCTTGAAATATTCCGAAACTTCGGAACTTATTATGATTAAAAAGTGTACTAGAGGAGTTCAAGAAAAAATATGCTGGGAAACCTGTGAATTCCGTGCCCACAGTATGTCTTAACCACCGAGAAGCCATGCGCATTTGCATGTTTCTGTATAACATTGCCGATTTCACGGAAGCGTACACCTGGACGGACTGAAATAAGCAAATTTTAATTTCTTGCATGCAAAATCAAAAGGTTCGGTTTTGCTAGAGAAAAAGGGCAAATTAGCATCTAAACTTTAATGCATGTTCCAAGTGTGCAAATGACTACTCTTAGATAGTTATAATTACCGAGATCGATAGCATGCTGCAAGCATTCATATGTAACCTTCACCAATTTCCTCGTATCCTCCTTAACTTTGTCACCGATCAAAAATGTTTCGTTCAGATCACCATGAAAGCCACGATGATATACTGTCACATCGACTGCAAATCATTAGCATTTACTATCACTCACTTCGTGCTGCAAACCCGAAAAAGCATGAATCGGATTGAATGATGATTCATTTAATGAAAAAAAGAGGAGTAATTGCACTGGAAAGTACCATTGCAAATATCGCCGTTCTCAAGTTTTCGCATATCTGGGATTCCATGACAAATGACTTCATTGATCGATGTGCAAACACTCTTTGGAAACTGATGATACCTGAATAACTCTAAATGGCACAATTCCAGAGGGCTTACTCCTGATTTGATAACAGATCCGGACGCATGGTGTTCATCCTGACAATTAGTGTTCATGAATGAAAGATGCCAGAGGAAATAAACAGGGTAATTTACCTGAAATAATAAATCTTACCCAAGAGGAGAGGGGTAACAATCTCTTTCGATACAAGCTTCATGAACAATAGCATCGATTTGATCTGTGGTTATACCGGGTTCACAAGCTCGCGCTGCTTCATCCAGCACTTCTCTACCTAGTTTGCAGACTGTTCTCATACTCTCTATTTCGTCATCATCGAGCACCTGAAATGCTCCCTTCCATGAGGAAAACTTATTTATAAACACTGGCTCACCAACATTCTATCTTCTTTCCTCCTTTCTTTCTCAACAAATTCAATTCTTTAATAAAATATTAGCATTCTGAGTTTTAAAATCCTTAATGATTGTCAAAACTTCGTAACAAATCTGGGAATTAGTTTGATTATTTTAAACTTACATTTAATCTTACCGAAACGAACTATCCTAGAGAATGCTTGCAAGAATAAAAAAACAGAATAATTTTCCTCCTAAGCATTCTTGAACCAACCTTAATCTCATTAATATTTCGTGCAACTTGTTCCTCTTCTGAGATGCCATCTGCACGAAATGCATAATCAGGTTTCGAGATAGTATCCGGAACCTCCCGTTTCTGTCCCATTGGTGCCGGACGTAGCAACCCCGTAAAATTATAATATGGCCATGGATTATACTGTTCCGGAGATCCAGTACATGCCAAATGGATTAGTTTGTGGAATGCCCAGCTACTTTTGAAACATTCCTGAAGAAAAAAATTTCTGAATATTCAAAGTGAATATTTAGATAAATAGAAGAAAGTGTACAAAATGCGTGAATCTATGGGTCAAACCAAATAAAGACTACCAACAGACTCATAAGCATAACTTGACCATGCTCTTGCTATAGACACGTATACTCGCTTCGGAAAATAGCTCAAAATGCCAGTCGTATTAAAATTTTGGGTATCCGAATCATACTAGTTACGATATATCTACTCCTTACTCTAGTCAACATGTGATATAGATTTCACTCCTTTAGTATTCATCAATTCATTTAATCAGTACAAATGGGTTGGAAATACAATAAGCTATTCCGCATATCCACCCACCTCATCGTCTTTCAACACTATCTTCATTTTAAAGTAAAATATTTCCAGAATGTGACAAATTGTTGAATGGTGAATGGTACTAACCTGAGAGCAAAAGTAGGAATCTCTCAACTTGAGTTCGATGCACGTAGGGCAGCGCAGCTTTGCCGTATTACTGCATTCCGGAGAGCTGCACAGATTCCCATCCACTGGCCGATCGCCACCCATCACACATGCCCACTGATGAACGCAAATTGGAGGGTGCGACGACGAATCTTCCGGCAAAACTCGACCAGTTATTTGCTCGCTCATACCTTTGATGAAATTTATTACGTATCACGCAGCGAACTAATGTACTAGACGTGTTTGTTGATGATTATGGTTGGAAGCGGAATTTACTCAGTATCTGAAGATGGATCTATCTCGCAACTGATGGAACCTCTCATCTAGTGGTCATCATATCACTTCTGATGGAATCAATCTCTCCAGCAAGCCTAGTACAGAAAATATAAGTTCAGAGTAAGCTGCTGAGGAATTGAGGCTGAATGCTGAAATCCAAGGCAAACAAATCTTGCATGGTACCATCTGAGGATACTGAGGCCTGATCTGGAAGTGGAAGGCTAAAATGGGGATACTCCGGACGATTAAAGTAGCAAAATTATTAACTCGGTTAATAATCAAAAAATGTTGGTAGCACTTAAGGAAAACAGAAAATTTGTCATAAAGAGCTCAAAACATATAGGCTTGGAATTACAGTTACGCCCATAAGGGATGTGAGAAGAATGTTAATGCCTAAAGGTTTTAGAAAATTTTCTGGATTTAATCTTTGCAAAATAATTTTTGTTTCGTAATTATTAGTGCACTTTGGATATTTGACGAATCATGGAACGAAGCGTGATGAAGTACTGAACCAGTTCAAGAAATGTTTGTGCCATGTAGAAAAGCCTTGCCCTAAGAACCTGGATAAACCATTTAAGGGAAAACCTCACACTACTCATACCGCAGCATGCACGAAAGAAAATGGAAACAACCGTCCAACCAAATCCATCCATATACAATGAGTTGAAGATTTGAATATTACCGTTTGCCACATCTAACTCTTCCAAAAATTTGCATGTTCTCAGTCTCTGTGCAATTCTCTTAAAAAAAGGCCGTCGTCCTTGATGAGTCTTAGGAATCTTTTGCATATGACTCAGCGAATCACTGTAGTCTCTTGTCTTACTCATGAGATTTTCATCGAAAAAATCCGTGGCTTTCTTTCTTTTTTATTCTCACTCTTTTTCTATGTTTTGTTACAATTTGGATCATATCTTATTCAATACCATCGATAGGTTATCATTATTATTACTCAGTAATATTTTACTTCTTCAGGAAATATTTCACGGATTATTCCCAACGTTGTATATTTGTTGTTGACATTCTTGAAATATTAAAAAGGAATAAATGAGTGTTTAAAAGTGTAATTATTGTTTTTATATTAAACATTTTAACATACTTCCTTCCACTTGCCTTACCTTTCCTTTCCTTTCCTTCCCTTTGCGAAATTTACACCTTTACATGCTTCTTTGTTTAATAAAATTTCTGTCAAAATTTGAGTGAAATGCTTGAAATTTTCCTATGTAATTATCTAACTTTTTTTTTGTTGCATTCGTTATTTCTTTGTGTGACTGAAAATTCGAATAACTTTAAAATACTATTTCAAGGGAATAAAATCTTTAAAACATTATTTTACATTTAGTAATTTAGCAAATGTTATCCTTAATTCATCATCATCATCTTTTATTAAATGGGCATTATATCTATAGTTAAAAGTATTCCTGAAGAGTATTTGAAGCAAGAAAGCTGGAGCAGTGAATCGCTTCATTTATTGAAGTGTTTATATTTTGTTTGCAAATTAATTCCAATTCAAACCTGTTATTCATTTCCAATAGAAATGGATTATCATGAAGTTATTCAGATGCTAAGTATATTACTTTCAGTATGACGAATTACCGTACCGCAGAAATGCATTATACGAATTATTGTTGTTTTTAGACTATCAGAAATACTTGAAAAATTGAAAGATTTACAATTTCATACAAGCACACAAAGGCATACATAGAAACAAAAATAGGGAGATGTGAATAAGCATAGGAAATATACACATATTCTTGTTGTACTATTGGTAAGCGGAATTATAAGGATAATTGTGACGGAAGAGAAAACATTCGCGCCGATCTAGCAAATTTAAGCTTTTCTGATATGTAACAAGGAAGAACTAGTTTTATGACACTGTGCGAGCAGAAATATTTTTCACTTCCATGAGGACCGAAAACCAGTAAGTAGTCTCGACATGAGAAGGGAGAGGAGGACGAACAAAGATCACTCACCTTCCATTCCCTTTCCCCTTCCATGTCCCCGTCCCCGTGCCTCTTCCATCTGTCGCATGAGATTTCCAACTTCTTTTTTCCTCCCATTCATGATTTTCATTCAGATGTAAGACACTGTAATCAGGATGATATTGCGTCCTGCTACCATTATGGCCTATAACTATCACCATCATCATAGTCATTGTCATCTCATATCATCGAATCAACTTATAAATAGATGATTACGAGCTTCATTAATTACTTTCTTTTTACTGTTATAATATCCCCAGATCATTTATGCACCATTTTTCAAAAAAAAGAAAAATTGCTTGAAATAAAGAATCTACTACTATTTCAGGTACAGTGTTTCATTCCTACCTCTTTTTTTCTTTTTGTTTTAACTTATCAAAATTTCTGATTTCTATTCTCATTATTTATTGATGTTTCATTCCAAGTGATAATTTTGCAGTGATAACTTCATGGTTTTAATTTTATTTTATACAATTACCAACAAAACTTATTTCCAAAGAATAACATAATTGGCTCATTCGTAATGTTACGTTATGATTACATAAGTACTTCTTAATTTTCTTGAATTCTACAAACATTTGATTTCACTTTTAACTTTTAGCGCTGACTTCACATTTAACGCTTACATATTCTAGAGAAATGGAAAAGTTAAACGTTTTATTTCCATTCTCATTACTTATTGAAAATCCAAATCAATCCAAAAGAATGGAAGATAAGCATTAAGGAAAGGAAAGGACTAATATGCTGCACTAATTCCAGTATCTTATAGATTTTTAAGTGATACGAAATATGGACAAGTTTTATAGCCGCAAAATATGTAAAATTATTGAATTGAAGTTAAGATTTATTTAAGAAATTCGAAGATTTGCACATTCGAAATTAAGGGAAGTATTGTAATACAACTTACTATACATTTTATAAAATGTAATTATTGCGCTATGTTCATCCATTGCAGACGACAAAGATTGCTGATTGTAAATATATTTCCTGATGTAATATATCCTGTTTCCAAATCCTCCTTCGTTCATCATTTTAAAAACACATTTGTGCATCGATTCTAATCTTTTTGTAATCTGCTTTGCCGTATTCTGGCCTGTTTTTTCTTTCAATGAGTGATCTGCACATTTATTTTCCAAATGACAGATTTAATTTGTAAAACACTACGCACAGATACCACTTTGTCATTTGCAATATTCCATATCATAAGGCTAGCATGGATGTTGGTTTTTTCAAAAAAAAAAAAGAAATTCGACAATCGTACTTAGTTGTAATGACTTCGTACTAGAATAAGCTATATTGCATCATTACAACTGTTATTGCTATCTTTAACCATACTGAACGGATAGGTGTTGCGATTTTGTGACTGATAGGATGGACAACAATATGCAAACAAATTATAAAATGCTGTGCTTCTGCAACAAAAAAAAATGAGTGCTGATAACAGAATTCAATGCTAAAGAATTTCAGCGACGAATAAGTGGAATGGTTATCCTGTGAAAGAAAAGTGTTAGTTCTCGACATTTTATTTCTCTTCGCGGTGAAGTCAAATTTTCCATATTATTTTCTACCTTGATTTAACAATTGCTAACTAAATCAGTTGCACGAGAAAGTTCTTTTGAAACAACCCTTACCTATACATTATATTCTGAATAAGTAAACAGTTAAGTATAATGATTTGTCTGAATTTGCAGTTTGCAAAATTTAGCAGTTAAGCAGACTTTGCAATTTTTGGAACTTAATTGTTTTGGATGCTGGATTACATTCAAACATTATAGAGCGTGTCTTGCCGGATAATTCTAAAATTACTGATTTTAAAAGCAGTAGTGGAAGAGCGATAATACTCGTTTGAAGTTCAATGTCAGTAGATATTGTTATGCTGTGAATGGAAAGAGCGATGAATAATAGAAAAACCATCGAAAATCAAACTCGCCACTTTTAATTTTAGTCGTTATTTTTTTGAATTAAAGTTTTCGATATCTAACGAGCAAAATTTTCTCGATTTTTCAAACTGTCAGGGCGATGCGCAATTATTCATTCAAGATCCGCTTTCCTGCTTTGGATCATAAATGATTATTTGATTTTATTAGAGATGCTCATTTTAATTGTAACAAATATTTCTGCATCTATCGTTTAGCCATCGCATCCAAATAATTCGAGATTCATTTTTTGATAATTTAAACATTTTCGGATGTTAAAAAAGATCAGCAATAAAAGCAGAAAAAAGTTAAGCATAAAGGATATAGGAGGCGTGGAGAAAGGTTAATATGAATTCTGACGAAAATATCTCATGAAGGTCAAGGATAACTGGATTGAGCCACTTTAGACTCCCATTGACCTTCGATTTTTTTATGATGTCTTTCTTCCCATCATTTGTTTGTACATCATCGTGACAGTCTTTTAGATCTAAATCTCCACCAGTAATGTCATTGGTATACAAAAATGTTTTGTACAACAAAGGTCTTTTAACTGATAAGTCATTTCGCTTCAAATTTTAGCAAACTTGCTAACCGGAAACAATTATATAAATAAAATAGTAATTAATCGTCCAATAATTCCATTTGTCCCAGAAATTGATACAACTTTCAATTATTATCATCAAATCAATTTAAAAAACCTAGAGAATTCCTATAACAAACTTATGGCACACGAGTATACAATTAAGTTGGAGAAAGAATCATAAATTCAACAAAAAGGATATTTGCTTACTTGCTTATTCTATAACGAGCTCTTGAACTAAAATGATTGAAAATATGAATGCCATAAAATTTTGCTAAATTGAAATTCTATATTAAGTTCATTTAAATACATATTGAAATGACACGAAAATTTGCTTGAAGAACGAAGTAACATTTTTACTCGAAATTTCCTCTCATTCATCTTCTTCTCCGAATGACTATTATTCCTCCTATATTGACCTTTTGTCATTTAAGAACAAATAAATAATATTTGCTGTTATGGACTTCTTTCCAAAAATTTTCCGTTATCAATGGAAAAAGTCCATAAGAGCAAATATTTATTAAATGTTTTCTTATTACAATAAAAAAAGAATGTCTTCTGTAACATAAACTTATCCATTTTTCATTTCATTCTAATAGTGACTAATAGTGCCAAAGGTCAGGTAATAGCTTACTTGTCTTTTTTTCTGTACTTTTTCACCTTTTTAACCTCTAATTTTTTTTCTTCCGGTTCATGCATATTTATGGATAACTTTCAGTTATACATTCTCTTGAAAGCAAAAAAAGAAAGACTTTAAGATTTTCCTTGCTTGTAAAGTCTGACAGTAAAGCTTTTGATTGAAATGTTGCAGCAATAAACTTGTTATAACTTTCCTTCAACAGCTGTGCGTAACAATCCCTTCTTTATATCATTTTTATTTTGGAATGGTGCATATGAATTTGCGATTTTGAACTTATTTAATTCAGAAAGTCACTGCAAATTTCTTGCAGGCCAAAAGATCGAAAGTAAACTTCGCTCACCAATGGGATCACTGTGCCGATCGGAGCAGATGCGATTCTGCCAAATGATTGTCCAGAAAGATGCCGCATTTTCTTGTGTTGCTGAACTTGGCAAACATCCTTACGTTCAATTTAAAGATGTATTTTTTTGAAACTATTTTTCAAAATTTTGAAAGTTTCAAATTTATGTTTGTTCGGCAAATTATTTTTATGCAAAATTTGCCCAGCAACCAATTGATGATAGTTTTATTCGTAAACTTTACCCAATAAATTCAATTTGGTGGTTATCTGCAGGTCTTACTAGCGAAAAATAATTATATTAGCTATCCTTATTGTTTGAATTATATTTCAACTTCATATTCGGCATTATTTAGATTTTTTGAAAATCCGAAA